AAAAAAAAAAAAAAAAGAAAGAAAAAGGGCTGGGGATTTAGCTCAGTGGTTCCACCGCCTGCTTCAACAAGTGTAAGTTCCCAAGTTCAATCCCCAGTACCCAAAAAAAGAAAGAAAAGAAAAGAAAGAATGGATGGAAACTGGCTTCCTTGGGGTCATGAGAGGCCATCGAGGTGAAGCTTCATCCAATTTGAAGGGGATAGATTGCAGCCATAAAGGCGAGAACGCGCATGCACACGCTCACACACACACACACACACACACACACACACACACACACACGAGCAAAACCCCATGAGGACAGAGCTGGAAGGTGGCCACCTGCAAGCCAGGAAGACAGGCTTCAGAAGAAACCAAAGCCACTAACGCATTGACTTAAGCTTTTAAAAACCAGAACTGTGAGAAAATAACTGGCAGTCGGTTAAGCCACCCCGTCTGCTACATTCAGTTATAGTAACAGACTAATCTGGGTAAAGTGGTTGGTCAAATGGGCAGGGAAAAGTGACTGAATCATCTGGTGGCTGGAGAGATAGTAAGAAGTTCCCAAAGTGGGTAAGAGCCACTTGTGAGCAGATGCAGGGTCAGAAGAGATCTACAAGACCATCTCCTTCCATCTCATTCTTTTTCGTACTGGAGAATGAATCCAGGGCCTTTGCACTGAGATACATCTACAGCCCTTTTTATTTGTATTTTGAGACGGTACCTCACTAAATTGCTAAGTTGCCTCAGCTGGGTTTGACTTGCAATCCTCCTGCCTCAGCCTTCCAGAGTAGGTATTATAGGCATGTGTCACCATGTCCAGCTCTTCCCATTTTTCTTTTTTTAAAATGTTTTCTTTATACCTGCTCATTACCAATTAGAAAATACAAATAAAAAGAAAATAAGAAACTATGAATACGCCAATCAACTATATATACTTATCAACATTTTCATGTATATTCTTGTAGACCTCTACCAACACAGAGACACATACTTGCATTTTAAGTGACAGTGGGTTTATAACATACATACTGTTTTGAAATCTACCTGCTTTTTCACCTACTGCATACCTTCCCACATCAGTAATATTCACCTGTATAATTTTACATGGTTTCCAATGTGTCACCATAATTAAGTATAATGATGGACATTTAGACTGTTTCTACTTTTGTCACAACTACGAACACCAGTGTTTCCTTGAAATTTAAACGTCCATCAACATTAACGATTCCCATGGGCCCGTGTCACTCTCCACCTACCTGCCCTCCCCCAGCTGTGCTCACCTGGTGCCCGGCCAGCCATGTCTTCCATGCAGTCCTGGTAATGCTTAGCAAGAAGTGGGTATAGCCGAGCCAGGGAGGGGCCTTTCCCGGCCTGCAGAAGGGCCTCTGCCGTGGCCAGGTGCATCACTGTGTCGTCACTGACCCTCCATCGCTCCACATCGATGGCATCCAGGCCGCCCAACTCTGCCAGCTGCTGGTGGATCCTCTCCCCATCCTGCAGGAACTCCCACTTCCGGTTGCAGAACCCCAGGGCATCTCCAGCTGCGCTCAGCACCATGGCAGCCACATACCTCTCCACCAGTCCCTCACACATGCTGAGCTCCACGGGGGCTGTGTGGGGGCAACTAAGACAAGTGAAGAAAGAGGGAGGAAGAAGAATTAGCAGAAACCAAGAGCTTCACTTGCATCATACTGAGCACTCGCCACTTTAGGCACAGTATTTAGTGAATCTCATCTAGTCCCCACAATGCTCTGTGAGGGATGGATTATTAGGCCATCTTACATATGAGCAAAATGAGGACCTGAAGATAACGCAGTTGCAGACGTATGAAGTGTGACTGAAAAATATGTTGTTCACATTTTTGAAAATTCATTTCAGTAAAGATACATTGCCATTAATTTTCTTTAAAATACAGCCCCACATCAAGCACACTTATCGCACCGCTGTTGCCACTTCCTGAAACAGTTCTGGAAGTACTCTTTCATGAGTGTCTTCATGAGGTGTACTCAGAACTACGGTGAATGCACCTGTGAAACACTAGTCAATGGAAAGGCAGGCTTGTAAAACATTACAGTGTCATCTGCCTCTCCCCCAAAGGCAAAATGAACATGAAAGGTAAACATTTTGAATCAATTCAGGACATCAAGACAGCACAAAGAACTCACAAAAGAGGATTTCCAGAACTGCTTCAGAAAGGGGCAAAAATGAAGGGGTATATGTGTTAGGGAGGGGTATTTTGAGAGGCAGTAATAACAATGTGTCTTTTACTGAAATAAAAAAGTTTTTAATTTAAACATTCATTACATTTTCAAACACTTCTCAAGGCACAGAGCCCACAAGTGGTAGAGCTAGGATTCCAAACTAAGTCTCCTGGACTCCAAAGGCCATATTTTAAGCAGGACCTTGTCTTTGCCTCTCAGTGAGTGGCAAACCCATTAAATTCTGCAAGTCAACCCAAACCCATCATTTTTTCTTTGTAGTTGAGGTTTAGCCTTGGAAGTGCACCCATCTTTCAAATAAATAATACTTTCTACTGGTAATCACTATGCAGTCTGCAAAGCACACGCATATTCGCTGTTTCACAGATAAAGAAACTGCAGTTCATATGACCAGAGAGTGAAGGCCCTAAGGCCTGAATCTTCTGATTCCAGACTTGGTGTTACTCCACTAGGTCACAGCCCTGGAGCAAGCTCCTGGTTCCTGAGCTTCTCAATCTGTAAAATGCTAGTGATGCCCTCTCTTTCCTTTTCCCGCTTTTGTGCCTGAACCCAGGACCTTATGCATGCTAGGCAAGTACTTAAAATGGATTGTGGTGGAGTAAATAAATTGATTTTCATAAAACACAGTAGTGCAGGCACATAATAAGGATTAGGTTGTTTTTTGGTGTTTTTTTTCCCTTGGTACTGGTGATCAAACTCAGGACCCTGAGCTTTTGAGGAGGGTATGATGCCCCTCAGCTAAATCCCCAGCCCCAATAAGGACTGCTTCTGTAATGATTTTTATTATTCATGCATAATCTGGGAAAATGGTCTATTATTGAACTAGAATACTTCCTCCCCACCACCTTCCTTTCAACTGTAATATTTAGGTCTCATTTTTCTTCTAAATGATAGAGCTCTAGAGTACTGTGGTCAAAGAGCCTGGCTTCCCCATAGGTACACTTCCCAAAAGCGCTCCTCCTTCAGCCAATTCCCAGCAGCTTACTCCACCACCACCACGCCCTCAGCTCAAGTTTTTTCCCAAACAACTGCCTGCTACCCGCCTTGCCTTAACCCTATTTTCTCTGAGTTTGGTGCAAGTCCTAGGGCTTCTGGAGTCTTTCTCCAGCTGTACTGCCCCGGGACCATAAACTGACAAGCTCCTGCAGTAAAACAAAGGTGAATTCTGCCTTCCAATACCCAGTTCCTCATCTTGCTGAGTTTAGGGCTAACTGTGCAGTGTTACTTGGTAACTGGAGTTCTGCAGTACCATGCTGCTACACCTTGAGCGCCACGAATTAGTTGTCTGACTGTAAACAAGCCATCTACGCTAACGCTCTATTTTCCTACCTGTTAACCGGCTGGAAGAGGAGGAAGATGTAGACACTTCTTCCTTTGCGCGCGCAAACACACACACACACACACACACACACACACAAGCAAGCAAAGTTCAACTTCCTCTCCGGCTCCGCCTCAGTGTGTAATGCAAGTGGATTTGTGAGTCTGCTAGCTGGGTGGAGGAAAACGACAACTGTTTTCTGCACAGAAATTCCGTTTCACTTTCACAAACACATCCTTATTGCCTTCCCCTCCCCCTGCTTTTGGGCCTTACACTTGTCTAAACTTTCAGACTCCAGCGTCTCACTAAGCCGCTACATTGCCCAGGCTGGGCTTGAACCTGTGGTTCTGACTCGGCCTCCCGGAGCTCTAGGATCGCAGGTGTGTGGAAGGTCAGCGCGCGCACGCGCGCACACACACACACACACACACACACACACACACACACTGCATTTGCTAAACTGCCGCTCCCACCCGCTCGAGAAAATCTGGAGGGCCGGACACTTTCAGGACGGCGGGGGCGGGGGGGGGGGCGAGGCCACCTAACTCACCCCCAGGAAGCTGCGCGC